TTGGCTTTGCCACCCCTGTCACAGGACTGGATTCTCAGCCCATCAGAATGAGCGTTTCTTTTAGCTGATTTATTTCTAATGTGGTGCGCAGTGTCCTAAGGGAAAAAGAGCAGTATCATGGAGGAGGACCTGGGCACCTTGGAGGCCAGGCCCCAGGCAGTGTCCTTGGCTTCTGCCTTGGCTGCTTCCTCCCATCCAGACAGGTACAGTCAGGGTCACAGGACCCATGGCCCAGCAGAGAGAATCACTGGGTGCTCAGAGCCACAGGCTCCATTGGTATGAGACCATGGTCCCAGGATACAAGAACCTCTGTTTGTTAATGAACAACCAACTTCTACTTGCCGTCAACCCACTAACTATACCCTTCTCTTGGATTGTTCACCTCATTGTTCTGTTTCACCTGGTGGTTTCTTTGTTTTTCATCTATAGCTTCTGGGATCAATCATAGTCTCTGGGCTTCAGACTGAGATGGAGTGAAGTCCAGCAGCGGTAGGCCTGTCTCCCACTGTTCCCACACCCTGTCAAGCAGGCACTGGCCTTGATGGCCTCTACAGAAGGAGGCCGCAGTCCCTGAGCCTCCCAGGATGTGGGCACAGCTCACCAGCAACCATGTGACCAGACTAGAAAACTACTGAGTCTCTTGTAGCAGGTTCCTACCCTCTGAGGTAGAAACCCAAGTCTGGAGGCTGAGATGCCCATACAGGGACCAATCTAGAAACCACTTACACTCCCTGGCCTCTTCTCTTGCCCACCTTTCCCATCTTGTAATTGACCTAGGAGAAAAATTATTGACAGGAATAGCCTAGATATAGATATGCCCAACCCTCCTTGACCTCTAGAACCACTTTCCAACTCCCTGCTGGGGATCTCCACGTACCAGAGGGACCTTGAGCTAAGAGGACCTTATTTATGTCTTAGTTTGCCCAGAACAGTCCTGGTTTATGGCTGATGGCCCAAGTTAATTATGATAGTGCCTCTCTCACTCTCAAAAGTATCCTGGTTTGGACCATAAATGATTTAGTTACTCTATCTGAAATCGGCACCTGGAAGAAGTGCAGCTGGAATGCTCCTTGGAAGCGAGAATGGCCAGACCTCGTCTCACCTATTTTGGTCATATTGTAAGAAGGGACCATTCCCTAGAGAAGGATATCATGCTTGGCAAAGTGGAGGGTCAACGAAAAAGGGGAAGGCCCTCAACAACATGGATTGACACAGTGGCTGCAACGATGGGCTCAGGTATAGCAAGGATTGTGGGGCTGGCACAGGACCGGGCAGCAGTGTTTCGTTCTGCTGTGCATGAGATTGCTATGAGTTGGAGATGACTTGATGGCACCTAGCAATGACAACAACATCTGAAATTGGCATAGCACCTAAGGCATTTTGACTGCTAACCAGAAGACTGGCCATTAAAACCCACCAGCCACTCCTCAGAAGGTAGATGGGGCAATCTACTTCCATAGAGATACTGCCTGGGAAACCCAAGGAGGGGTTGCTGAGTTGGATTTGACTCAACAGCAGTAAGGTTTTGTTTAGTTTTGTTTTGTTTTTTATCTGAAAGCAGCATGTCAAAGCTGAATTTATCATCCTACACACACACACACATACGTGCTCTCTACCTCAATTAATAGGACAGCATCAATGTAATTATCAAACAGACAAACCCCAGGCCTATCTTTCAACTGGAGTCCCTGGGTGATGCAAACAGTTAACAAATTCAGCTGCTAAAGGTTGGAGGTTTGAGTGCCCCCAGAACCACCTAAGTAGAAAGGCCTGGCAATCTACTTCCAAAATATCAGCCACTGAAAACCCTCTGGAACACAGTTCTACTCTGACACATATGGGGTCACCCTGAGTCAGAGTCAACTCAGTGACCACTGGTCATCTTTGACTCCTCTCTGCATCTGGTCATTCGCTGAGACCTGTCTCTTGAATAGGTCCTTTCCTTTCTGTCCCTACAGTATTCGATTTCAGACTCTCCCCATCCCCAACACAAATAATTACAATCATCTGCTATAGGGTCACCTTGGCTTGAACTTCTCCCCTCTCTAACTCAAAGCTCTGCAAGTAACCTTTTCAAAACACTTATATTGTGCCCCTACTCAAAAACATTCAGTGGCCCCCAATCCCTGCAGAATAAAATCCAAACCCCTTTGTGATCTAGCCCCAAACTACCTTTCTTGCTTCATCTGCTACCCTCCTCCCACCCTGGGCTCTGGTTACATTGGGCAGACCTCTTTTTGTTCCTTGAAGTTCATGTTTCTACTTGTCTCAGTTTGCTTGTCCCTTCTGACCCTTTCCCCTCTTTTCTGCTGCTCTTATATGCCCTTTGACTCCTTCCTGAAATTGACCTCAAGTATCATCTCCTTTTCTAATTCATTCCTCCTATCAGAAGTAGCCACTCTCTTGATTTCTGGAATGTTGGTCGTTGATATATCACATATGTTAACTCTCTCTCCTGGCTAGCAATGAACCTCTGTGGCCAAGAATTGCATCTCTTCTTAAAAGCTTGTGAGTAGCCCTCTAAGTAGGAGCTCTGGTAGTGTAGTGCCTAAGGCACTTGACTGCTAACCAGAAGGCTAGCGGTTCAAACCTACCAGCCACTCCTCAGAAGGAAGGTTGGGCAATCTACTTCCGTAGTGATACAGCCTCAGAAACCCAAGGAGGGGTTGCTATGAGTCGGGTCTAACTCGAGGGCACGTAACAACAACAACAAACAGCCCTCTAAGATACCAATATTGATCTTTCCTGTCCAGAGCAAAGAAGAGTGAAGAAAATCAGACTCATGTAAACAATTAGTCCAAAAGACTAAAGGACTACATGAACCACACCTTCCACTATTCTGAGACCAGAAGAACTAGAGAATGCCTAGGCAGAGTGGGAGAAAATGTAGAGCAAAATTCAAGATAACAAAAAAAAACTTAATGGTCTGACAGAAATTAATGGAACCCCCAAGCCTACTGACCTTCCACCCACTACCATCAAGTTGATTCTGACTCATAGCAACCTTTTAGGACAGTATAAAACTACCCCCATAGAGTTTCCAAGACTATAAATCTTTAGAAAAGCAGGCTGCCTCATCTTTCTCCAGTGGAGTGCCTGGTGGGTTTGAACCACCACTGTTTTGGTTGGCAGATGAATGCTTTAACCATATCTCCCCTATGGCCCTTAGACATCCTTCAAACTTGAAACAGAACCCACTCCCAGAGATCACCTTTCAGCCAAACAATAGGCCCATAAAGTAAAACAATAACACCCAAAAGGAACGTGCTCCTCAGATAACCAACCATATGAGACCAAAAGGGTAGCATCTGCACAAAAACAAAATTCAGAAAGCAGGAAGGGGCAGGAAAGATAGGCAAATGGAAACGGGGAAACCAAGGAGGAAGTAGGAAGAGTACTGTTACATTGAGAGGATTGCAACTAATGTCATCAAACAAAATGTGTATATATTATTGAGTGGAAAACTAATTTGCTCTGTAAACTTTCACCCAAACTACAGTAAAATGCTCAAATAGTAATACTAATAATAATTGCACCTCTTGCAATGCCCAAAACAATGCCTGCCCTGCCACATGCCAGAGCTCACTGTTAACTGAATCAGACAAAATTGATCATCCTTCTCAAATTCTCAACACCAGGTTCCCAACAGGCCAGTCACCCATTCTTGGAGACAATGTGGACTCTGGGAGGACATACACCCGTAACATCAGTTCTGACACAGCATCTCATGGAAGGAATGTCTGTGAAGAATTCAGATGTAGCTGGAGTCACCCAGAATCCCTGTTGCAACCAATCTTCAGGGGGCAAGAGTAAGCCTTCCCTCACCCATCCTCTCTTCCGCAGGAGGCCAGCCTCCCCTCTGCAAGATCAGATTTCATCCCTGCCCTTCCTGAATCTCGCCCCTCCCTCAGTCCATAGTGGATCTCTCCCTTCTCTAAGCTCCTAAGGCCTAACTTTGGGGAACTAATCTACTGCTTAATTAGGTGCCATCTTGTGTCATTTTTTGTACTGTATTTTTCTGTACTGAGTTTTTTGTTGTGTTTGACTTAACAGGTAGGATGGGGGAGGGTGGGGAAGTGCAATGAACCAGCAGGCAGTTGGCTGAGATTTGAATCCCAGATTCTGCTTTTTTTCAGCTAGATATCTAGTCATATTCCTCCCTCCTTGGCTTGAAACCCTTCGTAGCTCCATGAGGACCTGATTTGGTCAGAAAAGCCACTCCTAGTATTAAGACACACCAGCCACTCCTCGGAAGGAAGGTGGGGCAATCTACTTCCGTAGTGATACTGCCTTGGAAACCCAAGGAGGGGTCGCTATGAGTCGGGACTCGACGGCACATAACAGTATTAAGACATTTAGCGGCACTCAAGAGACTAACAATGGCATAAGAGGCCACCTCAACTTCATGGTCACCAGATAGCAGAACCTCTCTTTGCTAGAGTGGTGAAGGGTTCTCTCCCTTATAAAATCCTTCTCCGGGTTCTGTCTCCTCACCTCTAAAACTAGAGAAAATAGCAAGAGGCTGAGGGGGACTGAGAACAGATTAGGGCTCTGGAGCACCCACCCTCTTGCAACCTGACAGTAGATCCCTGAGATAATAGGGCAAGTACCCGGACTTCATAAACACAGAAACAGTGGCTAGTCGTGAAAGCATGGGGCCACGCATGGGGCCACGCTCCCAGTAACGGGTCTTCAAGCCCTGAGGACTTTTCCTCCCTGGACCCAGCTATGAAGTCACCACTGCCCTGTCCCTGACCTTCCTCTTAGGTCAGCCCCAGATTGGAGGCCACCATCACTACCACAGAAGTCTGCTCCGCCTACCCCACACCCTCCCCCTCCTCCTCCACCATCCTGCCCACCCATTTGCCTCGATCTGGGGTGGCAGGAAGGGAGGTGCTGGGCACCGGCCGTGAAGAGCAAACCCCCCTCCTCCTTCTCAGAGCTGTTGCTGCCTACGCCAAGGGCTGCTTCCAGCACAGGCCCGTGACATTGACCAGGCCATGAACCGCACCGAACCCTGGAGCACCAGCCCATGGGCAGAGTCCGGGGACTACTCAGGGTCCGGGATCTTGGAGGAGCCAGGGGAGCTGGAGCTGTGCATTTCCTGGGACTTGCCCTACAGCTACATATACATCCCTGTTCTCTACTTGGCGGCCTTTGCTGTGGGCCTTTTAGGCAACGCCTTTGTGATGTGGCTGCTGGCTGGGCGGCGGGGCCCACCGCGGCTCATTGACACCTTCGTGCTGCACCTGGCCGCCGCGGACCTGGGCTTCGTGCTCACGCTGCCGCTGTGGGCCGCGGCGGCGGCACTGGGCGGCCGCTGGCCCTTCGGCGAAGGCCTTTGTAAGCTCAGCAGCTTCTCGCTGGCGGGCACGCGCTGCGCAGGCGCGCTGCTGCTGGCTGGCATGAGTGTGGACCGCTACCTGGCGGTAGTGAAGCTGCTCGACGCGCGCCAGCTGCGTACCCCGCGCTGCGCGCTGGCTGCCTGCTGCGGCATCTGGGCCGTGGCGCTTCTGGCCGGCCTGCCTGCTCTGGTCTACCGCGGACTGCAGCCGCTTCCCGGGGGCCAGGGCAGCCAGTGCGGGGAGGAGCCCTCCGACACCTTCCAGGGCCTCAGCTTGCTGCTGCTGCTGCTGACCTTCATGCTGCCCCTGGGTGTCACCCTCTTCTGCTACTGTCGCATCTCGCGCCGCCTGCGCAGGCCGCCACACCTGGGCCGGGCCCGGAGGAACTCGCTACGCATCATCTTCGCCATCGAGAGCACATTCGTGGGTTCCTGGCTGCCCTTCAGCGTCCTGCGGGCAGTCTTCCACTTGGCGCGGCTGGGGGCGCTGCCGCTGCCTTGCACCCTAGTGCTGGCGCTGCGCTGGGGCCTCACCATCGCCACTTGCCTGGCCTTCGTCAACAGCTGCGCCAACCCGGTCATCTACCTCCTGCTGGACCGCTCGTTCCGCGCCCAGGCTCGGCGCGGGGCCTGCGGAGGCGTAGGCCGCCTGGCGCGCAGGGTCAGCTCTGCCTCTTCGCTCTCCGGGGACGACAGTTCTGTGTTCCGTACCTGCAGCTGGGGCCCGCCCCAGAGGATGCACTCAGTCTCTAGCTCTCCACAGCTGCCCCAGGCCTGAGGAGGGGGTGGAGGAGGGAGGGAGGAGAAAGAAGGAGGTCCGAGGAGGTGGGCTGGGCTCTCCAGAAACGTCTATTCTAGTGGCAGCAGAAATCCCCAGCCGGCACTGCCCCACCAAAGTCTCCTCGATCTACTGAGACCAGCTCTTCTCCCAGCCCAAGGGGTACCTCAACTAATTTTCTCCAGTCCAATAAAGGTCCTATAACATGAAGCAAACAGCAATCTAGAGGCCACAAGTTCATTAATGAGATGGAAAGAAAGTGGATTTCCTTTTCTGCCCATCAGGAATAGCACTGGCCAGAATATCAAACCGACTCCCAGAAACCGGTCTTGTCTCCAGCTATGCTTTTCTTTGGACCCCTACAATAGCCTTTGCCTTCTGAAAAAGACCTTCTCCAAGTCAGACCCTCTGGCCCTCTTGCTCTCCAGAAAAAAAAAGGGAAAAAAAAAAAAAAACATCTGTGCAACATGGGAATCAATAGCCCTTTTTGCTTAATCACCATTACAGCTGAGTTTCCTGTGCCATTAATCCACCGACCAAACCCACTGCCATAGCAACCCTACAGGACAGAATAGAACTCTCCCAAATGATTTCCAAGGCTATAAATCTTTACAGCAGAAGACTGCCTCATCTTTCTCCCCCAAAGTGGCTGGTGGGTTAGAACTGCGAACCTTTTCATTTGCAGCCAAGCACTTTAACCACTGTGCCACAAGAGCTCCTCATTATATCATTCAGATTTAAAAAAAAAAAAAAAAAAGGTCACCAAAGCCACTAGTACTAACCTGAGTGTGAGCTGTCCAGCTTGTTTCTCCTCAGATTTCCCAGAAGTGATAGCCCTGCCCTGGGTTTGCATCTAATGACCTTTTCCCCACTGTGGCTGCACCCCAGAAGCTGAAAGACTCACCCTGGAAATTGTCCAGGCACTTGGACTCCAGAATCTCTTCCCAGATGCTCAGATTCTCCCATCACTCAGCCAGGAAACCCAGAATCTTCCATGTGAGCTTGTCTTCCTCAATAAACACTTATGCTTTGCTAGCCCGAGTCTATTGTGTCTTTACTTGAGCAGTAGTAGTGAAATGAGTGTCAGAGACAGATCACAGCCTGGGGCAGACAAAACTCAACCCTGTAGTTGAGGTTGACCTCAGAATGATCAGGATTTGGTGTGACATTGGTGGGCCTGAGAGCTGTACTAGTGTGGGCATAATAATCCCATAGGAGGGCAGCAAATAGTTTATTTTTATTATTTTAAAGGAAGTTTCACATAGTGAGGGTTAGAGAGAAAGAAGAAAAGAAAGATTTGAATGCATCTGCCAACCAGGTATCAATTCAAAGAGAAGTGCCATTTTGATTTTCAAACATATATTGGGCCATTTTCCCTACTGTTTTTGAGACCTTCTTGTACAAATGTCTGGAGTTGCTCATATTCTGACTCTCTGACTTATCCTTTGAGATACTGGAAATTCAGTGTTCATACTTTTGATTTAAGAGGATTTGACCCCAGGGAATTTCAATCAGTACAGAGAAAATAACTTAATAATTCTGTTCCCCTCGGGGATCTCTAGCAGCCAGCTTCCTTCCCACCAGGCCAGGTATGGAGTCGCAGGCTCTGGGGACAGGTCTTATCAGCACTCCAGCTGGAGTCAGCTCTGGGTTGAGTCTGAAGCCTAGGCATTCTTTCTCAGCCTGTTGAACCTTCCATCTGATGCTGAAGAATGTGTGTCTTTTCAGCATTTGGGACCATTGGGTTAGAACAGGTTGAACATGACACCCCACCCATCCTGACCCCATTTCTCCACTGCTCCCCAGGAAGTCAGGCTGTCAAGGAGTGCACCCATGCAGGTCCCTCCCACACACCCTGAGAGAGACCAGCAGGACACCTTTCAGACCCTTTAATGTCTGACAGCACAAGTATATCATGTCCAGGGTCGTTCCTATCCTCACCATTGCTCTCTGAGCAAGAAGTCCCAAAGGCTCCAACAGAGAAAATGAATCTCATCTGTGGTGGTGTGTGGTGAGACCTCATCTCACAAAGGAGGCACTCCTCTAGGCTGTTCGGACTTTGTCCCCATTTCCACTCATGCTCATTTACTAATTGAGCTCCCTGAAGACAGACTGGAAGAAAGCATCTCCTTGCCCAAGTGGGTTTTCATCTCCTCTCCTGCAGTAATTACTGAAATTCAGCATTTCCCTACACCTGATGTGGAGAGGAAGTCGTCGTCCTCCCCCAACAACACCATGTTTGGGTAGGTCTATGGATTGGTCTACCATGTGTCCCTTGGACATTTTCTCTTATATTTAAACTGAAGGAGGACCAAAGAGTTCCCATTTCTAACTCTGGAAGATGAGGCACAGATTCAGCAAGGAAGTAGTTAAATGAGCACTCCCACATATGTTGCTTGTGTGAGTGTAAAAAGATTCTTTTAGAAAGTAAGTCGTCCATCTACATTGGGAGCTTTAAAAATATTTATATCTCATCCCTCCAAAATGTTCATACACTTGGACACTGTGATTTCACTTCTGCCCCTCTCTCCTGATGCTAAATAAAAAAGGTTTGGTGCACTAACTTAAACGTGAAATGAAATGATCTTAATGTCCAACAATAGTATAACATCTTAATTAATATGATGGCATATCATGCAAATGTTAAAATGTTGTTTGAAGAGAGCTTAGAAAATGTTCATTATAGTTAAAGGGGAAAAAAGGTAACAAAATTGCTCATGCTAAACACATCCAAGGAGCTCTGGCAGCATAGGGCCTAAGGCACTTGACTGTTAACCAGTAGGCTGGCAGTTCAAACCCACCAGCCACTCCTAGGAAGGAAGGTGGCACAATCTACTTCTGTAGTGATACTGCCTTGGAAACTCAAGGAGAGGTCACTATGATTTGGATCTGACTCAACGGCAAATAACAACAACACCAAACACATCCAAAGATTTCAAGTATGAAAATGCCTGGAGGATACAAAATAAGTGTTAACATTGGTTTTGCTGAAGCAAAACGTTAGAGGCATACCTCGATTTATTCTTGCTTTGCTTTATAGCACTTTGCAGATACTGCTTTTTTCACAGATTGAAGGCTCATAGCCCCTACTTGAGCAAGTCTTTCAGCGCCATTTTTCCAACAGCAAGTGCTCACTTCATGTCTCTGTGTCACATTTCGGTAATTCTCACAGTATTACAAACTTGTTCAGAATGCTATTGCACACTTAATAGACTATATCATATAGAGTAAATGTAACTTTTATATGTACTGAAAAGCCAAAAAATTCATGTGTCTCACTTTACCGTGATATTTGCCTTATTGCAGTGTCTGGAACTGAATCTGCAAGATCTCTGAGGTACCCCTGTACATGTCTCGTTAGTCCTTGGGATAAAAATGATCTTTTGTTCTTTTCTATAGCATAATTTCTAAAAGTTGCAGGCATGTCTCTTTTTTCTTGGTGCAAACTAGTGGAATGCCCCCTATTTTGTCTTCCCCAATCAGAATATGAGCTCTATGAGCCCAGAGAGCTTTGTCTGTTGGATTCAGTGCTGTATGTCCAATGCCTGGAACAATGCCTACAAGTAGTGGGCCCTCAATAACTACCTGTTGAATGAATGATCATCAGGATTATGTCATAATATGAAATAATACTGGGTTATACAAATAGTAAATGGAAAGATTAATCTTATTTATGATAATAACAACTATGATTTATAAAAGAGCATAAAAAGAAGACAGACTAGGAAATAAAACAAATGTTGATATGGTAATAAGGAGATTATGGATCCTTCCCATTTCCCCCCATTTCTTTTTTGAAATTTCCCATATAGGTTCTTTTTGAAAAGGGCAATTAGTTAACATTATTTGGAGTCTGGGTGGCACAATGGTTAAGTACTTGGCTTCTGGCTGAAAGACTGGTAGTTCAAACCCACCTAGCCGCTCTGCGGGAGAAAAACCTGGTGATCAGCTAGCTCCTGTAAAGATTACAGCCACAATAACCCAATACTGCAGTTCTACTCTGTCACCTGAGGTCACTATGAGTCAGAATGGCACTCAATAATAGTTAACAAGTAGCTACGAAGCTGCCAAAACACAGGGGCAAAAATCAGACCTGGCTCCTGGCTCTCGCTCAGTCACAAGTCACATTTGGCCTTGTGCAGCTCTCTTAGCCTCTCTGAGCCTCACTTTCTTCTAAAGAATGGAGATGATAGCATCAGCTCTGCTGCCTCACAGAGCAAAGGAAATTATGTTCGTGAAAATATTTTGTAAGCTTTGGTGTTTTAGACAAACACACTCTCAAGATTAACTCATTCCAGATATGGCTACTTCTTCCATTTCCCCTTGGAGAGGAGACATGATGGTGCTGCTCTAGATTCTAAAAGGCTGGCATCCGGGCAAAGGCTGAACTTATCCACCAGCTGTATGTGATTCTGATTTGCTTCTTGTGACTAATTCTGGGCTTTCTTCTCACCTCCCTCAACCCCGTGAGTCCTTTCAGGGCATGGTGTGGGAACCCAGGGCCACTGTGGTGATGACTGATCTGGGGAGTTCAGGAGAATGGCACTTAGTGCTATGACTCAGCCCTCACATCATTTGTGAGGGCACCACATTCTTAGAGCCCTCCAGGTTTCAGCTCCTGCCCGATGATGGCTGCATGGCCTGCAGAAGCTTCTTATTTCCTTCTTTGAGCCTCAGTCAAAGGGGAGAAATGATGGAAAGACCTCCAGCCAGAAGACTGGTGGAATGCTTGGTAAGTAAGAGAGAAGGAGGAAGCAAATATCACACTTCTTCTTTTGAATAAATACATTAAAATAAAAATGTATTTATTCAAAATATATATAAAATTTTGACAACTTAACAACAAAAAGACAACCCAATCATAAAATAAGCAAAAGACTTAAATAGACATTTCACCAAAGAGAACATTCAAATGGCCACCAAACACATGAAAAGATGCCCAGAATCATAAGCTATCAGAGAGATGCAAATCAGAACCACCATGAGAAACCATTTCACTC